TTGTGATCTGAGATGCTCAGGGACTACTATGGGCAGAGAGGGCAGATGCACCTCTGGGCCTTGGTTCATGGCCTGACAGCTATTTAATGTCCCACTGTAGCTCACTTTGTCAGATGCTAGATGCATGCCATCTCTCCACCCTCAAGGAGCACCAGGCTCATCATCGGAGCCAGGGTGTTTTGTTAACTTGACGTCGTCACCACAGGGCAAGGGTACTTGGCTAAAGTGCCTGCACAGGCCAGAGCACACCAGCAGTGTTCCTAAGCCCAGCAACCCTACAAGCCCATAAACCCAGCTCCTTTCTTTTGCTCCTTCCAGATAGCCTGACACTCTTCTCAGAGCTGCCTCTCCCTTCCCAAGCAGAGACACAGAACGTCAAGCCTTAGTTCCCGGTGTCCCCATCAGACGTTCACTGAGCCCAGTTCATCTGCTGTGTTGTTCATGTGCTGCCATTTCCTCACTTCTGTCTGCTTTATCTACACATTATAGGGGGGTTGACCTTCTTTCTGTCATCTTTTCTTCATGTGTGTTGATGGTCTGTCATTAGGTGTGATTTACACACTTATCCTTAGGTCTGTGCTTGTCATATAGCCTGAGTGTATTGAAACTTACTATATAAAGTCCTCCTTGGTCTCCTGTAACCTTTTTGATTTAAAGTCTGTTTTATCTGATATTAGTATAGCTACCCTGCTCATCTGTGTTTCCTATTTGAGTGGAGTATCTTTTTTCATTGATTTCAATCTATTTGTGTCTTTGGATTGAAAATGAATCTCTTCTGGACAGCATATAATTGGATCTTTTTAAAAATCCAGCCTGCTGATTTCTGTATTTTCATTATAAAGTATTTTTATGTGACGCTGAGGATAGAACCCAGTGCCTCATACAGGTAACCAAGCACTCTACCACTGAGCCCCACCCCCAGCTCTGTATTTTCATTAGAATGCTTATTCACCTTACATGTAATCACCAACATGGAGGGACTCCTGTCATTTTGCTTTTTGATTTCTATAAAGTTTTCTTGTCCCTCATTTCCTGCAGCACTATCTTTGATGTTTAGTTGATTTTTTATAATGAAACATTTAAATTTCTTCCTTGTGTCCTTTTGTGTATATTCTGTAGCCCTTTTCTTTGTGGTTGCCATGGGAATTGCATTGAACACCCTAGAGCTGGAACACTCGAACTTGGATTTGAACCGGCCTTCCTTTTCTTTTTCAGCCTTCCATCCTTCCTTTCAGCCACTGTGTGGGGGAAGTTACCTATTTATACATTATGTGCCCCAAAGCATACACTAACCATTCTGTGAAATGCACAAGCCTCACAAAACTATTGCTACAATAGTGCCAACTTCTGTAATTACCTATGTATTTGCCTTTACTGAGATCTTAAGTCTTTCTTTTGGCTTTGAGCAACTGTCTTGTGTCATGGACACTGCAGGGAATCAGTAAGCACCAGCTGAATACACAGACCAGCATGTAATTTCTGGAATGTACAGCTTTCTCAGAGATGAAACCCAGCATTTCCTCATGGAGAGAGAGGCACACAGTGGTGTTTTTGTTTTTTCATTTTTTCTTTTTAGGTACTGGGGATTGAACTCAGGGGAGCTTTACCACATAGCTACATCCTCAATCCTTTTTCTTATTATTTTGAGACAAGGTCTTGATAAATTTCTGAGGCTGGCCTTGAACTTGTGAACCTCTTGCCTCAGTTGTTGGGATGACAAGTGTGTACCCCTATACCCAGCCACATTCATAGTTCTGAACCTTGTCTGCACCTTGGATCACTGGAGCATTTTTAAAACTGATTCCTAGCTCCACACAGCTGCGCCAGTGAAATCTCTGGGGGCCAAGCACAATCCTGCATAGTTTGTAGATGCCTTCAAGTGCTCCTGCAGATAGCCACAGTTCAGAACCATGGTAGAACCATAGCCAGAGGGCAAATAATTGGCCCTCTCCTTGCTCTGACCAGAGGTGTCATCTGGAGTGGAACAAGCCTCGGTCTATTCTCTTGTTAGGCATTTTTAAGGACCTGCTGTGGTAGAAAAAGCTTCAGGCTCTGGGATGCAAAGTGGATAATGCAGCCTCTCCAGTGAGCTCAAGGGCTATGGGGAGTGACAGCAGGGCCACCAGCAGTGCCAGGGGCCTACATCAGGCCTGCAAAGGCCTCAGTATGGAATTGTTTCCCTGGGAGGTGGTGTATCCCGTGGAAGGATTAACATATATTTTAGGGGCCTTTTCCCGACAAAATATACCGTTTTCATTGTGCTAAAGAGGCTGATTCCCTTCTCAGGGTGTCCTCAAGGTGGTGAAGAAAGTACAGTTTGGTCCTTGGCCAGAATTAGGAGGGAAGAGAGCAGCACATTGTTTCTCCCACCATCCCTACAAGTCTTGAAGTCTGGTGGGCACTTTTGGCACCTGCATCTCCCTCACAAGGGCCACCACTGATTTCAGGCTGCTTTAAGACGGTTAAGAAGCAACAAGAACCCCTTGGATATTTAAGCAACACACTGACCATATTCTGTGCCAAACTACTGCTCCTACTGATTTTTCTTTCTTCTTTGTACTCCTCCCCTTGAAACGCATATGTGCCCTCAGTTTTGCGACATGAATTAGTGAAGTGCCAGGGTCCTTGGTGTGGAAGTTGACTGCTCCCAGCACCAGCTCTCCTATGCTCCATTTTCTGGCAAGACCCGTCTCTGCTTAGCCTGACACGGGTAGGTACAAAACACAGAAGAGTGGCAAGGGCAGAGCCTTTGTTGCAGGCAAGGAAGGGCCAGTGGGACTGGTGTACTGCCCCCGTTGGAGTGTCCCACACACCTCCACCCCAGTCAGGGCTCTGCTCCTTCTGAACTGCTGGTCAACCTTCACATAGAGGTGCTGTGGCTATTTCTGGCCTATGAGGCATAATGAGTTATTTCAGTGCCTGCCTGGCAAGTCCCAAGTTCCATTTAGAGATTCGTTTGCATTTTTACCCTTTATGTTCAGCACTGGGAGGAATTCGTTATTTCCCTACAGTCCTGAATTCCCTGGCCTTTCACACTGTTTGTGGCCCTGGTGACATCCTCCGATTTGACCCTGAGGGATGTTTGCCTCAAGAGGCCACAGGCTGTTTTCCGGCTGTTTCCCTGCTGTGGGTGGGAGCTGCCAGTCTCACTCCTGGCTATCAACAGGCTCTGACTAAAACTTTGATACCCAGCGGGGTCAGCAGCTATGCCAGAGGGGCTGTTCCTGCTCTTGGAAAGTCACATTCATTCACACAGGGATGGTCTACACATCCACTATCCCACCCTATTCCCCCCGCTTCCCACAGACTCCCAGGGCCCGGGAGTCAATAACAGGCGTGTGGCTATGCCCAAATGGACTCACATCCAACAGCCCCAGGCTTTTTAGTGAAAACAAAAACTTATTGACGTTTTGACAAATACAAACTTTCAAAATAAGGAAATGGATTTAATCAAAATATTCAGGGAACTGAAACCCATTTTCCTTTGTATTTATGCACTTTAATATACATAGATGGGATATAATTTCTCATTTTTCTTAGTGTACATGTTGCAGAATAATATTAGTTGTGTAATCACATATATACATACAGTAATAATGTCTTGTTTCATTCTACTGTTTTTTCTATCTCCATTTTAAATGCAGTATTTTATTATATAAAATTCTCTGTAGAAAAAGCACCCTAAATTTAGGACTTTAAATCCATAGCAACAAAAAATTTCATTTAATAAATTGTTCAAAGCACACTGCTAAACATATATGACATGTAAAAATCTCACTGAAAGGGAGAAGCACTGTAGAAAGTGGTTTCAGAGAGGTACATCACACAGAATGAAAGTGCCTCAGACTCAAGCCAGTCTCTAGATGCTGTCAGCGTCCTATCCCCAGTAATATGTTGTCTTGGCCACTCCTTTCAAGCCACGCACAGCCTTGGAAAACATGGGCCGTTTTCATCCAGGCAGTAACCAAATTGCCCAAGGGACTGTGGTTAGAGCTAAGGAATCATACAGCCCGAAGGTCCCCGTGGGAGAGAGGAGCGTGGAGGCTTCACAAGGGCTATGGTGGGCCCAGCCCAGAGGACAGGGAAAGCCAGGAAGGCAGAACCCAACAGGCTAATAGGCCTGTGGATGTGAAAACCCAGAGTGGGTGGTAGTGTTGTCATTATTTTGGAACTAGAGATGTCTAAGCTACATGCCTAGCCCCCCCCCCCACCTTTTTAATGTTTTGAGGCAGGATCTTGCTAAGTTGCTTAGGGCTGCACTAAATTGCTGAGGCTGGCCTTGAACTTGCAACCCTCCTGCCTCAGCCTCCCCAGTTGCTGGTTACAGGTGTGGCCATTGTGCCCGCCAGAGTGGGTACTGACAGCAGATCAAAGAGCTTCTGAATTCGCGGAGGCAATACCAATGTCCTCCCATCTCATTCAAGTTTTTCTGCTTTCCAATCTGACCAAATTACTACTAGGAAAGGTGAACGATGAACATTTTATTCCATTTCCAGGAAGACTGCTCCCCCTCCCCCCTTCCCCCTCCCCCTCCATGGCTGCTGAAGAAACCAGATCCACTTCTCTTCTCAGGTCAGGTTCCAGGGATGACTTCCTCCCTGTGGTGCCCATTCCAGCGTGTCTGCACAGGGGTCTGCAGGCTCACTCGGCCTCCTCCCTCTTCTCGGGACCAGCCCTTGGTTCTTTTTGCTGTTGCTCCCGCCATAGCCTGAGTCCTCTGTACCCCTTCCTGCTTGAGGGCAAGCTCTTGGCAGGTACGGCTGCCATCCCACCTGTGATTGGCTGAAGTGCCAATCACTCTTCCAAGGGCAGCAACCCAGGAGGGCGAGGCCCCTCTGCTTCTGTTAGCAGAGCAGCAGCCTGGGAAAGCCGAATGTAGCCTCTCCTGTTCAGCAGCATGAGCCCAAGATGTTTTTCAAAAATAATGTTCCACTAGCTACCCTAAGAGTATGTGCTGTGGCAGACACCAACTTCACTTCATTGTAACACCAAATGTCCTCCCAGGGAAGAACTACAGCCTCATTTCTATCACAAGGGAGGAAGGCAGGATCTCCCACTGTGCATGTGACGCAGCCTCCTGCAAGCTTGCCTGACCTGTGGAAGTCATGGCTTTGGTAGTGATTCTCTGTGGTCTCCTTGATTGCTGCAAATGAATTTTGCTGTGTGAGACAACTACCCTTGTGTTTTGATCTGATTTAATTCCACTAGCAGGCAGGACTGAGGACATGAAAAGCAACCATGTCAGGGCACAAGGGTGCACAGCCATAGTACATGACTACGGCCGAGGATACCAAGGCCAGCCAGCTTTCCACCACATTGGAGCAACAGGGAGGAGACAAATCCTGTTTCCCTCACAGCCCAGAGCCCCAGGAGCAGACTCCCTGCCCAGCACCCTCCTGGCCACCAGGGGCCCCACATGTGACCTGAATGACCTGCAGACAAGCTCTCCTCTCTTAAGACGCAGTGCTCACCATGACCTAGTGCCGGGCTGGGTGTGGGGCCCCCGGAAGTTACCCCAAGTGTTTAGCATTACTTCTTTTTAGACCAGTGAGAAGAACAGGAAGAGGCTCAGCAGGCACCTGGTCTGCATTCCGGGGCTCGTCCTCCCCAGGGTGGTGTCTGCATCCTGGCCTCCTAAGTAGCAACTGTCACCCCAAAGCGCCTCACCACACCATGTTGGGGCAGGCCTTGTGGGCCGCTGAAGGCTAAAACATAACAGCTACCACCACTGCCTACACAGGCAGCTAGGAGGGAAGCATGTGAAGGTGCTCTCTCAAAAAAGGCCCATGGCTGTCCCCTGAGATTAAGGGGTCTACAGAAATGTCAAGTACTATAAGACTGTCATGCATGAAGCTCTCCTCTGGGTCTTAGGCTGGTCTTTCCTGAAACATGACAAATGAACATCACCAACATTCAGCTCCAGTGGATTGCAAGTGAATGGAATGGAGACAGCCTGTCTCCGAGGTCACACATCAAATTCCCATTCATATTCTTAAAATGCCAAACCAGAGACAGAGGACAGTCAAGTTGCTCAGCAGGCTGGGCAAGCGTGGACGTGGAACCCAGCTCTGTTACCAATACAGTACCAATGCTTCTCTGGGAAAATGCGACCAAACAAAAGTGAAATTCAGGGGCTGGGGATGTGGCTCAAGCGGTAGCGCGCTCACCTGGCATGCGTGCGGCCCGGGTTCGATCCTCAGCACCACATACAAACAAAGATGTTGTGTCCGACGAGAACTAAAAAAAATAAATAAATATTAAAAAAAAAAAAAAAAAAAAGTGAAATTCAGCTGGGCTCAGCGGTCTGTAATCCCAGCAACTCAGAAGGCTTAAGTAGGAGAATCATGAGCTGGAGACCCAGCCTCAGCAACTTGCACCCTATTGCAAAATGAAAAACAAAAAGGGCTAAGAATGTAGCTAAGTGGTAAGGCACCCTGGGTTCAATCCCCAGCACCAAAAAAAAAAAAAGTGAAAGAAAAAGAAGCTGTCACTGGGCTGAGCGGGACCCAACACCATGTCCACTGGGTGCTCGGAGGCCGTGTGCATGCCACTGGTGCTCTCCTGTTGTCTGAAAGGTAAATGCTAGGGTCTCACTCTGAAGTCAGTGGGTTAAATGTCTAGCTTGGACTAAACAAGACAGTTTTCTTGGTGAAAAGCAACTTGGTTCTGAGGAGACGGTGGGCTCTGCCCTGTGCTCACTGCAGGTTTGATGTGCCCCAAGAGAGCAAGATCTCCAGAAGACCATGACAAGTGAATCCACGGGTGGGGGCCTCATGCGGTGGGAGACCCATCCTGGAAGGCTACACACTAGGCAGGAACGCTACACGCTAGGCAGATTCTCCTTGTTTGATTTAATAAGATAATTTGGAAAACGCAGTCATGAGACTGCAAAAGTACAGGGATGCCCTAGAGCAGAGCTTTGCGGGAGGACCAGCCCAGGGGCTCAGAGCACCTTGCTTCTCAGACGCTCCTTCCTGGGGGCCAGGCCATTGTCCTCCTTCTCCCTGGCCAGCCTCTCTGCCGTCTCCATGGGGATGCCCCCGTCCTGGCGCCCCTTCTTCCCTCTATCTTGGGTGGACCCTCGGACCCATCTCAGCTCATCTTCGTTCCTCCTGGCAAACCTGGCAAACTCTGAGTGAGCACCATGTTTTCTGCTGCTGTCCAGGTGGCACCTCAGCATTTCAGCTTCCCTCCCCCGAGGTCTTCTCTCCAGGTCCCTTTGCTCTCCATCACTGTCATCCTGTGACCTGTGGGCCAACAACACAGACGCTGCCTCTGCACCTCAGCCTCCTCCACAGAACCATGCAGAGGGGTAAGGAAGGAGGCAAGGGCAAGGGGAAGCAGGAACAGGAGGACCAAGCACCGAAGATCTACTTCTCTACCACCAAGACCTGGCCAGCAGGAAACACTGGGCTAGACGGGGTGCTGGAAGAACAAACAGGCAAACCTGACAGGAGGACAGCCCATGGAGGCAGTGCCTGCAGGCCTGAGTGAAGGCTGACTGGTGCAATCTGACCAAAGGCCCCATGTCCACCATGCTCCTGGCAAGACTGAGCAAAGGCACGAGAGCAGCACTCTCCAGACTCCCAGAACACATGACACACATGCTGACACTGTGAGTCCATGCCACGGGTGGTAGGAAAGTTCACACTCACTTCTCCCTGAGCGCCTCTGGCAGGCTCTCCAGGAGCCTGGTTTTCCTCACTGTGCAGGGGGCGTGGGCTTCCCGCCTGCCATCTCCAACACCAGCTTCTTCTCCTCTTTCTTTTGGTTTCTCAGTGGTTGATTCCTCTCCCTTTTCTGGTTTCTTAAGAAGCTGAGAAATTGTAACGTTAACAAATCAGCATTCCAGAGCATATTACAAAAGAAACTTAAATAATTAAAAATGCATATCAATATTAAGCCCAAATGCTTCAATAGCTAAAGAATTAAACCAGAGGTACAAAAAGCAGGTTTTTGGTTCAACACACAGTGGATCTGTCAATGAAATATTCTATAGTTATGAAAAATGATGTTTTGTAATGAAAAGATGCTCATGTTAGCAATAAAAGAACATTACACAAAGAACAGGCACCATGATCTAGTTTTATATTCACACACACACAGACACACTCGCTCAACAATGGGGGACACCGAGAAGGGTCAGACCACTGCAGCCTGGCCCATGAGCACATACTGCCCTCAGTCTTCAGACCACTTCTGGCCTTCAGGTGGTATGAAGCGCCAATGCCCGCAGGCTCTGACACTCACTGATCACCATTCTTGGTGGTGGAACTCTGAGCATTCCCCTTCTTGTCACCCACAGGTCTGTTCTTTAGAACATCTATGGTTGTCAGTTCTTTTTTTTTTGGTGGTGCAGGTGATTGAACCCAGGGCCTTGTGCATGTGAGGCAAGCCCTCTACCAACTGAGCTGCATCCTCAGCCCCAGTCTATAGTTTTCAAACACTGCCTTTTCTATTCCTTGAAGCAGGGGTTGGACACCTGCACATGGGCCTCCCCAGAGCCCAGCACCACAGAGACTCCATGCACCACTAGGAGGTGCACTCTGGAGACCTCTGTCCTCACCCATGAAGGGAGCGTGTGTACACCTGCAGTGCAGGAGAGCCCTGACATGGCATGCTCCACTGAAGGGATCCCCGAGACAAGCACCAGCTGTCTCTCACCCTGTGGATGTCAACCCGCAATGCCCTCTTCCTGCAGCTGTGTGGAGTCATGACCTTCGACATTCCTTTTTAGGGAACTGTCCACCTTCCTTTAAATTACATCAGCAGTGTGTCTGAGATAAATATGAGCGTTATAGAAGTACAATGGTCTCCATGCCCCTTCACTCAAAAAATAATTTCATGTGCCTAAAACCGCAGTTACACTTAGGAGAACATCTACCTGGTGTGTGTCCCCAGGCAGGTTCCCACTCCAGGTGCAGAACTCAGGTTGTCACTGGTGCCTCTGACCCTCTTACCCATCCTGGCAGAGGCTGGATAAGCAGTAAGGACTTACAGAACTCAGGGGTACTCCACTTCCCACCACTGTGTACTGTACAGGTGCAACTGGGAGCAGCCAGCCAGGGAGGTGTGGCTGCAGGGGGCCATGTGCCCTGACTCCAACTCAAACCCACGCAGAATTTCCGTGTTCACCAACCTGGAGGAATCTTAGGTGTTATTCTGAGGTTCATCACAAAGGCAGGATTAAGTCCCCAGCTGCTAGTGACTAATAATCACCAGCCCTCCTGGGAGACTGCAGGTGGGCTCAAAGCCCCACTCTCCAGTCCCACCCTGGTCTTTCTGGCAACCAGTCCCCAGGCTGAGGCTCTCTTGCTAGCATACAAGACACATCCCTCTGCAGAGACCAAGCGTCTCATTTGTGTGTTGAGACTGGGCACTAGGACCCTGTGTTGATCACTGGGAATGTGGCTGTGAGACAGATGTCCCCCCACACCATGGCTGGCATTCTAGCCAAGACAGTACTCCTCCTAGGGGTGGAGAGGAACAAGCTCAGCTCAGGTAGAGGTTGAAAGCTCCACATACATACTAAACCAGAGTTGAGAAGCACAGAGACCCAGGGAGAGGGGCAGAAGAAGGGAGACTGCAGAGGTGAGACAGAGACTGAGGCCAGGAGAGGAGCAGCCAGGGCAGGGCTGGGGAGAGCAGTCCACATGTTTAGGAAGGACAAAGCAAGCAGGGCTGGGGTGAGCCAGGAGCAAGACAGTGGGGACAGCACTATGGGCTCAGGAAGCGCAACACAGCGAGGCTTCCAGAGACCAAGGGCTGCTGAGGTCAGGCATGTTCCTGTCTGGTACAAGTGTGCTGATGCTCATACATGTAATCAGGTCCTGGTCTGTGCTTGCACTACATATGCACACCCCAATCACTCACACACACCAGTCAGAACTTCTTGATAACAATGACAGTTTCTCCAGATAACTGGTCTAGAGCCACCACTGATTCAGGGATTGTATCTGCATCTCTGGGACCCAACCTCCCCATCAAGCTCCCTGTGGGCTTTGGCCCCTGTGCTCCTTTCTCTATGAACAACACCCTTAGGCTGTTTGTATGACTTCTTTTGGCATTGCTGCAGGTTTTATTTTTGAGGTTCTTAAAAAATTGGAACTCTCCAGATGATTCATAAGTCAGAGATCCCAAATCACACACACCTGCCTGTTAAGAGCTAAACAGGTGGATGACCTCACTCATGAGTCTCCCTCCACCCTCAGGCTGGGAGCCATAGCTGTTCTCAGGTTTGACCTGCCTAGCTCTTCCTCTAGTCTAGCTGTTGTCATGTTCTAATTTCTTCCTCCTATGAAGGATGCTGGACTTACTTTTGTTGACTTAAATTTGATTTATTTCTTTAGCTTATTTTAAATTTTAACTGCATAATCAAAAATACGGAAATAAAACACTTACTTCCAAATACTTCAAAAGTCCTACTTAAAAATTATAGTTGAAATTATAGACTACAAGTTTCCATGGTTCTTTTTGAAAAACTAGTGGTAATCTACGGACTATAAAGCATCAGGCACTGGGTTAGCTGCTAAGGTTCACAGGGTGTCCCCTCCGTGTTCCTGGACACGACAATAAGACAGAACTGAGTTCTGGAATGACAGATGTAGACAGCGGTGACAGTGACTGGGAGACCAGTATCTGAGATTAAGGTCCCTGATGACTTCATGACTGTGGCATACTTGGGTACTGGGAAAGTTTCTGTGCAAAGGCATAGATGCCTAGTTGCTATGGAGGTATCTTCCATGCTGGAGTCTTATCAGCTTCAACCTTATTGACAGGCAAGGAGCTCCTGGGAACCAAGGAGCTTCCCTGCTAAGATAACAACATTTTCACCAGCTGCTCCTTAATCTGCAAGTGAGTTAGTAACTTTAAACAATGGACATTCTTGAGAGATGCACAAGGCTCCTAACATTGCCCATTGCAACTGTAGAATGTAACTGAGGAAATAGCTGCATATTCTTGCTAACTCTGTAACTTTCATGAATACAAAGAATAATGCTTGCATAGTATTTAACCTGATTTAGAGACATATATAATAAAGATTGCTGGTGTAATTTTTTAGACCTGTTTTGCCACCAGAGAGCAGCAATTTGCGTGTGTTGACTCTTTATTTCCTTCAAATATCCCATGCCCCTCGCTGAAACCTGCTAGTTTGGCGGCACTGGTCACAGCAGATGGGCACCTCCCTTCACGGCGACTTCACCGTACCATGGAGCATGAGCCCCGACCCATACACACACAGAGAACTCTCCGCGCTCCAAGCAGCTTCCTGAGGAAAACCCCTGCTCCACCCATCAGGTGTCTGTCTATGTAGTCACAGCTAGGCTCTCTGATTTCAATAGCACTATCAGACTATGTATTTTAAACCAACACAGATCTGCACCCACTTCTTACCCGAGTCAACTTGAACTCTATGGGTGGCTGTTTGGAATACATTGCCTACCTGGAGAACCTGCTTCCACTTTTGAAGCAAGTGGGCTTGAGTGGCCTGGCTCTTGTCCCATTCCTTCCATGAAGTCTACTTTGCACAAATGTCCTTAAGCTTTTATTTTTTATTTATTTATTTATTTTTTTTAAAGAGAGAGGAGAGGGGGGGGGAGAGAGAGAGAGAGAGAGAGGGAATTTATTTATTTATTTTTAGTTTTTCGGCGGACACAACATCTTTGTTTGTATGTGGTGCTGAGGATCGAACCCGGGCCGCACGCATGCCAGACGAGCGCGCTACCGCTTGAGCCACATCCCGAGCCCCGTCCTTAAGCTTTTAGAGACAGTTGGGGAGACAGTCCTCAGCAGCTATGTCAGTCTTCAGTAGTCTCAAGCTTTCCCTCTGAACTAAGGGGCCATGTGAGTTGTCCTGGCCACTTACATGGGGAACATCACATGCATGACTTCCATGTGCAGCTTTAAGAATCCATGTCCAGTCTCCCACGTCCATTTTCCCTTCTCATCCTCAAGATGGTAAAAGCAAATACCAAGGGGGACACTCCATCAGCTCAGGTATAGCACCAGCAGCAGTGCCCAGAGATGCACAGCACTGCCAGGATGCCCTGGCCAGGCCAAGCTGTGAGACTCTGGGAATAGCAGTCCTGACAGATACACATATGTGCGTGCTTCTGTGGGATGCTGCTGAGAAACTGTCCTCTCTGTGGCTAGCGAATCCCCAGGAGAGATTCTCTTAGAGCAAAGACCCAGAGAAAACTCCACTTCCTGGAAGAGCTGGTGTTTTCTGAGAAGCATGATTCTGACCAAATTTTCTATTTCTGACTAGAGAGAGTATCAGAAAGTAATCTGTGCTATAGCTGTCTCTTTCCCACTCTCCCTAAGTCCTGATGTTTTTTCTTTTTCTTTGTTGTATAATTCTATCGAGCCTCTATAAGGTACCTAACTTCACAGTTATGATTTAAGGTACCTCTGTGAAGTTAGATACAATCACGTTGGACTGAAATCTGGGTTTAATAAGGTCCCAAGCAGACAAAGCTGATCCCAATTCTGGCCAACACATATTACAAAGAAAAATCCCCTTGAAGCATCTGAACAAATACATCCCTCATAAGAGAAACTAGGTGAGAAAGAGCCAGACTGTGGGGCTGTCACCACAAGAGAATGATGAGCCCAAGTTTGAGCACATGGAAAGACAGTGGTTCTAGGTGGGTACTTTTCAGCCAGGAAAACTTTTCTTTAAAGAAAGATGTGAGCAGATACCCCATATGTGGGCTCCTCTGCCCTCCAGGTCCTGTGGTCCCCATAGACAGTCCAGGAGCCCCTGGGGCTGGGCACAGCCTTAAAAACCACAGCTATAGAATGGAAAGGGAGCTCTAACAATAAAGACTAGGTTAACTGAAAATCTGCTTAAAATTCTAAGGACCTAAAAGACCTCAAAAGCATAATTCACATAGCGAAACTGTTTTTGGAAAAAAAAATGGAATGGTTCCTCACAACTACCTGGATCTTCACTTCTTTCTCAGCAGTCTTCTTTTGTTTATCTGCCTCCTTTCTTTTGCATGTTTCTTCTTCTTTTCTCTTTCTTTTTTCTTCTTCCCGCAAACGTTTCTTTTCTAGCTCTCTCCGCCTCCGTTCTTCTCGCTTCTCTTCTCGAATTCTCTGAAGGTATGGACAAGTACTGTGTAAGTTTTCTGAATGGAAACAGCAGATGCAGAAAAGATATTCACCGGGTAAATGCCAGACCTACCTGCTTTTCTAATTTTCTATTTTTAATATATTCCAAAAGAGGCGTGGTTCTTCTAGCTAAAACACAAAAAACTGTAATGCACACATGTAACTTGTAAATAAAATTTTCTTATTTAAATACTTATTTTCAATTTAACCTTTAATTTGGGGACATATGTTATTTTAAAAATTTACATGAGCGTGTACTGTATCCAGGGGAGTTCTTATTCCATTACTATAAACCAAGCAATCTGGAAATGCCCAGTAGACATGCAGCTCTTGATTCTTAAGGGAGTCATAAAATACTACTCATGGGGGCTGGGGAGATAGCTCACTTGGTAGAGTGCTTGCCTAGCATGCACAAGGCCTTGAGTTCAATCCCCAGCACCACCAAAAATAAAATAAAATACTATTCACAAAGACAGTATAAAAGTAAAATGAGAACAATATGTTTAACTTGCCAAATGTTAAAAATATGTCTTTGTATGTTTAAAGAAATCATTAAATTATAAATTCATATGTTCACTTTAATACTTCTCCATTTCCTATACAATAGTTATAAACCTGTAGGTTCTTGCAATTTTTTATAATCCAGGTTGAGCATCCCTAATCCCAAAATCCAAAATCTGAAATGTTCCAAAGTTTGAAACTTTTGAACACTGATTTGACACCTTGAATGGAAAACCCCACATCGGATCTCATGTGATGAGTCATTCAAAATGCAAGTGCTGAAAAATAGTGCAGAACCCCCCACAGGTGAAGTGCAAGGTGTGCTGAAACATGGGAGCTGAATGCTTGGACCTGGGCCAGCCCCAAGGTGGCTTATTAAATGCATGCATATATTCCAAGCCCCCAGAATAATCCTAAATCCAAAATAATTCTGGTCCCAAACATCTCAGATACAGGATACTCAACCTGTACATTCATTCTCTGTAAAATCAGAATATAGACTGCAGCTCAGAAAATGATACCATAAGTACTGCTGTTCAAAAACAGCGCCATCATTACATGTATCTGAAGAAACTGTAGAATGCATACCACAAATGCTAATCTGCCCTTCATAACAAGGAGTTCACCCAGACAGAGTCTGCCCTTCATAATAGGGGTCACTTCATGATTTTAATTTGGAGCCTATAATTCTTTTTGTCACTTATCAGCTCTTTTTTTTTGGGGGGGGGGGGTGGTACTGGGGATTGAACCCAGGGCCTTGTGGATGCAAGGCAAGCATTCTATCAACTGAGCTATATCCCCAGCCCTTGTCACTTATATTCTACAACCAATCCACCTATCCTCCCTATCTATTTTACCTCCAAAATATATGCTGCATCTCCCAGTCCAGTACCAGTAGCCTCCTGGGTACGTAAGCCTCTCAGCCAGTGCCCAAGCCTGTCCCTTGATATTCACAATCCACCCTGGATGCAGCAATGACAGGACCAAACAAATCAGCTCCTGTGGCTCCCTAAAATCACTCTAGGCCCCTCACTAGTACCCCCAGAAGACACCAGGCTTCCTACGCCTCGACACACAGCAGATAATGCATTCTGCTCCCGCAAAGTCCCAGCCTCCAGCCTGTTTCTTCATTCAACTGTACTCAACTCCTAAACTACTATGCTCTGGGAAAGCAAAGTTGAAAATACGGTTCCCTTGGGGAAGCGGAAAAATGAAAGGAGAGGGAGTTTACATGGAATGAGACCAACAGATAAAAAAACACATTTAACAGTGACTGTCACATCACACAAGTCTTGGGTGAGCAGGAACAGTCTCGTGGAGGTGCAATAGGGCCCGGTAGAGAGGCCCAGCACTAAGCAGACCAGCAGGAAAGGAGGACACTGCCAGGTGCATGTGGCACTCAACTACAGCATCTGCCTGGTGACAGAGAAGAGGCTTTGCATCCACAGGGGAGTGTCTAGGGATGTGACAGGTGTGCTTCTGGGGTACAGGGTTAAGTTGGATCCTAACCAGACCCTGTGCTCTGGCTGGGTGTCCACTGGCTTGGCTGGCTTCCCCCAGTGCTTGGTACTCTTCTGACTGCAGCACCTCATCTCTACTGGCTCAGAGACTGCTTGCTGCCCAGCCCCACCCCAGATGGCCAGAGCACTCCCATGTCTTCAGCACTGATCCTTCAGAGGCTGTAGCTTAGAGTGACTGTCTAGAAACTCAGGTGCTCTCCATCAGCAAAGCTCAGAAACATCCATGCCCTCTGTCAACCACCCTTCTGTCAAAACAGAAAAACACACTGGGGCTGTGACTATGGCTCAGTGGTAGAGCACTCGCCTAGCACGTGCAAGGCCCTGGGTTCGATCCTCAGCACCACATAAAAATAAATAAAATAAAGGTATTGTGTCAAATAAACCAAAAAATAAATTTAAGAAAAAAAAACTGAAAAACACTGCAATTCTGCCAAGTCTACAACAAACTAAATCTTTACCGTAATCATGAAAAGAATGAATAAATATTCTATATATAAGTATCTCCATAAAGAAAAGAGAAATGAGAAAAACAGACCAACAAGTTCTCTTGTCTTTGCCTCTACCTCTCCCAGAAGGATTTCAGGATTGGCACTGGTTTTCTCTTCCTCCACACTGTATGTTTCTAAAAACTGCTTGTATTCTGGATCTGTAGGTGGAAAAAAGAAAAAAAATAAACATATTCCTCCTCAAACACAGGAGAGGATGACAGTGGGCCAGGTGTCTAACCTCACAGCCCCCGATCCAGCATTTCCACAGTCTTACCATCTGCGATGCTCCCGGTCTTAGTGTCTTTTTTCTTCAGCTTCTTTTTGGCTATCTTCTGGAATGGGGCAAACTCCACCACTGCAGGGTACTCCAGGCCTGTGACCAAGACACAGTCCAAACTCTGAACTCTGCCTTGCTCACTCACCTAAGATCAAGCAAACTCCAGACTTAAACAAAGGACAAGCTGGTGGTAGGAGGACAATCTTCACTATGACATGCCCCATTGTGGGGCTTCATGGCTGAACACATTCAGATCTTCAAACTGCTAACTTGAAAGGGTGGATTTCACCATACTGACCTCCCCATCCCCTTCCAAACACTCTTGTCACTGAAATATATTTAGCCAACTGAGCTACATAATTTTTTTTTATTTTCAAAGGTTAATTCAGTTACCAATCTGTTATACAATTCAAGGAAATTACTTCGCTTATAACAGACACAGAACTAAAGGGAAAGGGTGTTTCAAGGGTATGTATCATGTTCCAAATAAAATTTGTTTCCAATAAAAATGTAGAGAATGGAAGCAGTAGAAACTTATTTGTTACTATTTGGAGCAGGAGAAAGAAAACAGATGCTCACTGAAAAATATCTGAAACATGTCTGATCAACACATGAAGCACTAGCACCTTGGAACCAAATCTAATGAATAATTATTTTCAGTAATGTCAGTAATGGTCAGGTGACTGATTTTTGATTCCCATTTATCTGGAAGACATTTTTTTTTGTGCCAACCTCAACTACACAGAATAAAGTCAAGAATGAGAATGAAAATGGCACTCCAGCAGGGGCGATGTCAACTCCCTCCTGCACCAACTCCCAGGACATGGCAGTTACATGCTAAAGACAGCAGAATGCTCCCTGATTTCCACACTTACTACCAAAGTACAGTAATCAAAACAGCGTGGTACTGGCCTAAAGACAGACATACCCACCAGGGAACTACAACACAGGGCCCAGAAAGTCCCCTGGATATCTGTTTAAGTGACTTTTGAAAAGGCTGTCATGACTAAATGGGGGAAGGATGGACTCTCCAACAATGGTGCTGGGAAAACTGAATCCGGGTGCAAAGGAATTAAATTGGACTCTTACCCAACATTATTCACAAAAAAAGATGGAACAAACCTAAATGAAAGGCTTAAAACTCTTTGGAAAAAAAACGTAGCAGAAAAACCCTAAACTGCTGGATTTGGCAATGAGTTCTCAGATACAACCCTAGAGGCAAGAGCAGCCATAGAAAAATAGATCAACTGGCACCAAGTTTTAAACTTCCATGCATTAAAGAATACAATCAACAGAATAAAAACAATGTGTGGAATGGGAGAAAATGTTTGGGAATCTTGTATCTGAAGAGGCTAACATCCAGCATGCACACAGACTTGTATTCAGCCACAGAGAGGTACTGACTGAGAAACAGACAAAGCAGGCTTGGCATGTATCTCAGTGGTAGAGTGCATACATGGCATGCATGAAGCCAAGTTCACTCCCAGCACCACAAAAAAAAAAAAAAAAAAGAGAGAGAGAGAGAGAGAAGAGAGAAATGTACAAAGGACTTGAATTAAGTATTCTCCCAAAGATTATCTACAAGTGGCTAGCATGCATAGTATGAGACTGCCTCAACAGACATTAGAGATGCAAATCTAAATCACAATGTGATATGAGAGCAAAACAGAAAATACATGCTGGTGAGGAACAAGAACAACAGAAGCCCTTGTGCACTGCTGGTGGTAGTGCAGAAGAGCGTAGCCACTGGGGAACAGCTTGGCAGCTCCTCAAAATACTAAAACTAGAGTGACCGTATACCCACCAATCCCACCTCTGGGTATTTGTCCAAATGAACTCAGAGAAGAATTTCAAAGACCTATCTGTACACCCAGGTTCACACAGCTAAAACCTGGAATATTATTCAGTCCTACAAAGGAAGGGAATTCTGCAGCACGCTACAACATGGATGGGCCTTGAAGACATTATTCTAAGTCACAAAAATAAGCCAGTCACAGAAACACAAATGCTGTGATTCACTAATAAGAGGTATGCAGAGTAGTCAAATTCATACCCCAGAAACAGAAATAGACCTGGGGTTGCCAGGAGCTGGGGATGAGGGATGTGGAGTTAGTATTTAACTGGTATAGTTTCAGTTTTGTGAGCTGCAGGGAGTCCTGGCAATTAGTTGAATAAGGTGAATATTCCTAACACTACTGAACTGTACATTTGAAAAAGGAAAAATCAATAATTTTGTTATCTATATTTTACCAATATTTTTTAAAAGTTTAAAAAAAAAAGACAAAGAACAGCGCAATTAACACAAATGTCCCGATGGTTCAAGTACTAAAACTTCCCTTTACTTGACTGTGTCTTGGCCCCTAGCTCTGCCACTCTAATGACCTCCTCTAGTCTGACACCCTCGGTGGAGGAGGGGAGGTGAATGGCAAGAGGCAGGCAGTGGGGGGCTGAAAACAGTTTGCCATCAATGGTCTATAGACTCAACAGCACAGGACCATGTGACAGGAGAGGAGAAAGAAAAACACCAAAAGCAGGCCCAGAAAGGGTAGGCAGCCCCCAGGCAATACCACCCAGCACAATCAGTCACAGTTTCAACCCCTTCCCCACAACATTATCAAGAACTGTTAATCAAGAATACACTGCAGAATACTTCATTTAAGAAGACAAGATATAGATACATTTAGAGATTTTCTTTCAATTACAGGAAAAATAACTTAGTTCTGACATAAAGTTCATTTATCCAGAGAATTGACTCAAAAAACTCCATTTTCTAATGATAATCTTGTCATCATCACACAATTTCTAGAATTCCTTGGTTTATCATTTTAATGGTTTTTTAAAAAATATTTTTTAGTTGTCAATGGATCTTTTACATAATTTATTTATTTACATGTGGTTTTGAGGATCAAACCCAGGGCCTCACCCATGCCAGGCAAGCATTCTACCACTGAGCCAAAACTCTAGCCCTCATTTTAATGTTTTTAATGCATCAGCACATGATACAGTAGCAATCAAATTTTATGGTATTACTTTATATGACTGAGAATTTCTTAATCAAAACTCACAAACATCCCATCAAAGCTTCATTAGAAGAGTTTAAAAGCCAGGAACCCAACCTTTATTGCCAATGAAGACATATCCATCAAAACGATCTCTGAACAGAAGGATGTCATCAGGGTCCCTAAAATTAATGTATGCTCTGGAGTACAGATGAGGGTGCAGACTGAAATACAGGACAGCAGAAGCAGTTAGTAAAGATGAAATACTCCTGGAACTTTGCCCTTTTTCTTCTTTTCTGGAAATGGCAAACTACTTCAGATAAAGCCTTTATGTCAAAGGTTCATCTCTCAGTTAATTATAACAATCTGGATATTTTTCTGCAAGAAACTGAAAACACAAATAAGTCACAACCTGAGGGCTTTTTACTGGGGAGAATGCTTTGGGCTAGTTTTGCCACTGTGCAGAGCCAGGAAACAAAGGTCACCTGTGGCATCAGGACAGGCAGGCCACTGTGCCCTCTGAGAAGAGAATGCTGACTGTACCATCTATACTGAAGGAGAGGCACTTCCAGGCACTTTAGTACTTACAACGGCACACAGTATGGGGTCTACTGCAAACTCAGCCTTCCTCCCCTATCTCATGGCTATCTCTGTTAAATAGGGACTTAGACAGAGGCAGGTATGTCCAGGCACTGAGAAGGACCCAGCTAGCAGGTGTGGCAGCTAGGAGAAGCCCGAGGCCACCTGGGGACTGGTCTTCACTAGCAACACCAGGGTATACATGCAGGACTGACCAATTGTTCTCTCTTCACATGCTTTAAAGCTACATGGAGTAAGGTTTGGTGTCACCAAATAACTTTTGGACTGTGAGGACATCACAGAGGGCTCTTGCTAAGTTCCATTAATGCCCTGCCAACTCAGGAATGTCCTGCAGAAGGCAGTCTGTGAGAACTTCTGGGTCCTGTGGGGAGATGGAAAAGGAGTGGGTTGCTGTTACCCTCAGCTTCTCGCCCACACCACGAACCTGGGCGCCAAAACCTACCTGAGGTCAGCGGCCACCACCTCAAAGTAGTCGTGCGCAGGCAGTGGGTGCAGCTGTTCCTCCAGCTGCTCCTTTGTGAGGCCTGGTGGCAGCCGTCTGAGGACCACCTGAGGGACAACGCCGGCTTGTCACTCCTGGGGCGTCCCCCAACTGACCGCCGGCCGGAAGACCGGCCAGCCTCAGTGTGCATCCCACCCTCTAGCCAAAGGTCTCGCCGGCCTCGCGCACACCCCGCCCAGCACATCTCATCCTGCAACCAGGGTCCCGCGGGCCTAGGAGAGACCTGCTCCCCTCCCAGACACACTCCGGCCAACCCTGCTCACCAACAGTGGGCACTCCCACCCCTCATACCGCAGTCCCCCGCGGACCAAGCCTTCACCTGCACAGAGCCATCCTCCCCTTACAAGGCACACCTCGCCTTTCCACGTCCTGTCCACACCAGCTCCGGGCCGCCCTCTTCCCTCGCGCTGCCCCACTCCGTCAGCCCCGCCCCGGGACCGCCTACACTTGCTTAGGGCCCTCCTTTTCTCCTAGGGAAGTTCTGCACCCCGCCGGCCCCTGGTCCCGCCCGCAATTGCTGAGGGCCGTCCCCTTCTCCTAGTGAAGTTCTCCCGGCCCTCCAGTCCCTGGCCCCGCCTCGCGCACGGCTGTCCCTTTCCCCTACAGAAGTCCTGCCGCCCGTCCTGGCCCCGCCCCCTTACTCAGGCCAGTCCCCGCCTCGCAGAGCTCGCAGGTCCGGCCCACCCCGGGTCCCGCCCACGCTGGCCCAGGGCCGTCCTCTTCTCGCGAGGCTTGGCGGCCCGCCCGCCCCAGGCCCAGCTCACCTTGCTCAGGGCCGTCCTCTTCTCCTCGCGAGGCTTACGGGCCCCGCCCCCGCAGCCCGAGGAAGAGGCTGGTGTCTCGGGTTCTCGTCGTGGTGACTCACGGCGGAACTGGACTTCCGCGGCAGACAGCTTCTCCCTCCCGCCAGGGCCCCGGGTACCAACGGTCGCGCCCGGGCCTCCGGCCCGCTCCTTCTCCGAGCGCATCGCGTACTCGCCGCCAGCCGTTGCCGCCTGCGCGAGGATGAAACCTCGCGAGACGTCGGCCGCCACTGCCCCGCCCCCGGCGCATCCTGCCAGAGCCCTCCGCTTCCAGAGGTCGGGTTCCCGGGCGCGCTAGCTTGAGCTCCGGTCCTGCGGGCAGGTCCTGGGGCTGGTGTTGCGATCCAGGAACCTCGAATTTCATCCTGAGAAAATGAGCGGCTCAGAACTGCGCCCCTGCGTACCGCGTCCCCGCGGCGGGCTTCACTTGCAGCCGCGGTTACTGACACCTGAAAGGCCGGTTTGCACTTATTACCGGTTCTCGTGCCACACCTTCCTGTTGGTTCATGATTCCCTTTGGCTATCACATCTTTCTCCCAAGTATTTCAAGCATAAATAAAAGGAGAAACTGAAGAATGAAATAACGGAGCTTTGAGACGCTACGAGGGTGATGGACAAGCCTCACCCTCACCCTCACGCCACAAGAGATACTATTGTTCTGCTTACGCAGGTAGAAAAGAATATGCATTTTAAATAGCTGAAGATAAAAAGTTTGGGTATTTAAGGGAGCACTTCACTTGCTAGTAAAGTTCATCTCTTATAACACCTTGTTTATTAATGATACTGTGAATAAATGTTATAACCACGTTTTTCTATGAAAAAGTAGGCAATGTGTCCACTGAAGAGAGGACTGGAAGAGTTTGAGAGAAAAGACTGAGTAAATGGGCAGACTATGTGGTTAATGAAACTCCCACCTGGGAGTCACAGCAAGACTCCTTTGCTAATTCCAGTTATGAAAAAAAATTTTAAAATTGTCTTGTATTCACTTTTAATATGTATTTTAAAAATTCTAACATCTTTTCAAAAAATAAATCACTCGCCACATGTATAAAACTGTACAAGAACTTTTCTCTTGACCCCAGTGTCATGGTTTAGATGCCCAATGTCCCCCAAAACTTCATGTGTGGGACACTGCAAGAAGGCAGAGGTGAAATGGTTGGGTTATGACAGCTGGGACCTAATCAGTGCATTAGCCCCTACAGGAATTAGCTGGGTGGTACTATAGGCAGGTAGGGTGTGGCTGGAGGAGGTGGGTCACTGGGTGTGTGCCTTTGGGGTTTGTATTTTGCCATGCTGGGAAGAGTGCTGTTGCCTGGTGTGATGTCCTGAGCCACCTCCCTCCATCACACTCTTCCACCATGATATTCAGCCTCACCTTCAGCCCCAAGAAATGGAGGTCAGCCATGTATATGCACTGAGACCTCTGAAACTGTGAGCCCCAAATAAACTTTTCCTCTAAAATTGTTTTAGTTAGGTCTTTTGGTCACAGGAGCAAAAAAGCTGACTAAAACACCTAATTTAATGGGGCATTTCAATCAATTCTGCTATGGCTGATTTCAGGTGCACCTATAGAACAGTAATTTAGCTGTGATGTATTAAAAATGACTTATGACCAGTTATCACTTGCTTATTTCACATGGATTCCATCTTCAGTCTTAATATTATGTGAGAAAAGTGCAAAACATTGTAAAAGATAAAAACAGGCCAAAACAGCCTTTAACATTTACTAAAGTGTTAAAGTTAAAAAAAGCTATATCATCTGGGCTGAGTTGGTGGTTCAGTGGTAGAGCACTTGCCTAGCACACATGAGGCACTGGATTCGATCCTCAGCACCACATAAAAATAAATTGCCGCGTCGGGCCAAGGGAGCCGAGTCCGGCGAGGGACGGCGAGGTTAAAAGACACACAGGACACCAAGGTTCTTCATCCAGGAGTCAATAATAATCTTTATTGCTAACACGCCTTTTTTTTATATCCCAAGCAGCAGAAGTGGAAAACTACCCAAAAGCAGGAGGGAGGGGGGAGAAATTTAGTTTTAACATCTATTATTGTCAGGTACCGAAACCTCCCTTAACAATAAGTCCATCAGACCAGAAAAGGTCAAGGCATTCCCGTGGGATACATATGTCTCAGACGGATAAGCAGGAACAGAAAAACCGCAAGTTCGCCATGGCCTTGTGAGCTGGCCACACTGGCATGCAGAACAAACTAGTGGAGGTAGGGCTCCAGGGGCCAAGGTGGACCTGCTGCCAACATAAATAGAATAAAAAGTTATTAAAAAAAAAGCTGTCATCTAATGAGTGTGTGAAAAAAGGTGGGGAAACTCACGTTCTTTATCATCTACACACTAGGAAGCAGAACTCAAGAACCCTGGTCACTCTGGTGGCTCCCTGAGGGCACAGATACTTTTGCTTCTGCACCTTTAGGCTAATGTGGTTTCCCTAGCACCACATGGTGTCATGAAATTTAAAGATGCAACACCTTTGTGTTTAATAAATCTTGAGAATGTTATTGTAATTTCCCTTACATTAAATATCTAGAATAGACCAATTTATAGAGACAAGTAGATCAGATGTTACCAGGGGCTGAGGGAGGAGTAGGGAGTTATTGCCTAATGAGTCGAGTTTCTCCCTGGGATAATGAGAACATTTTGGAAATAGTGGTGATGACTGCATCATAACAGTGCAAACTAATTAATGCCACCAAGCTGTACTCTTGAAATTTTAAAAATACACATATATAGATTGATCAGTATGTTTCCAATAAGACACTTTATTTATTAGAGCAGTTTCAGGTATACAGAAAAACTAAACAAAAAGCACTGACCATATACTGCTTCTCTCTCCCTCTGCCTATACAGCGTTCACTATTGTTAACATCTTGTACTGGTGTAATGTTACAATTATAAACCAATATTGACACACTATTATTAAGTACAGTACATAGTTTATGTTATATCTAATACTACAAAAAAAAAAAAAAAAAAACCGGAAAACAAATGGATGGGAGCATGTCACAGAAATCAAGCTGAAAGAGCACCCAATGGCTAAAGCTAAAACAATTTAAGCCACAAAATAAGTGATACTGTGTAGGTTTATAATTCTAAATATGAAATAAGTACCCATGAGTCAATATAAATGGTTGAATTAGTAAATAAATAGGAAAGAAGAGGCAGATCTTCAAGAAGAAATGTGTATGGATGGATATTGCCCCTACAAGAAATGAAGCTCAGCCCTTCTGCCCCACAAAGCACGTAAAGGAAAAAGAGGACATTAACAGGTCAGAACATGGCAGACACCACTGTGACCAAGGTTTGTGTCAAATGTGAAGAGGGATTGACTTCATCTCTATTGAGTTTTACCCAATTCATAATCCTCATCCAATCACAAGAAGCACAGCCAACAATCTCAAATCAAGGGAGGTCCCAAAAACCAACTGAGGAGCGCTCCTCCAAACTGTGAGTCAACCCCAGACCAGAGTGCAAAGGGGACACAATAAGTGAAAGCAGCACGTATCTGGGCAGCTGTTAACAGGGCCACACCACTGATATCTGAGCCACGACAAATGTCTTAATGTTATTAGGATGTTGACATGGGACAAGGGGAAGGGACCAACAGAAGCTCTCTACCATGATGCCAACTTTTCCATAAAGCAAACGTTAGACCAAAACAGAAGTTTATCCAATAGGAGACATAATGGATGTTTATCTTCTTTATTCCACTACATGTAACTATTTTATAGGTTCAGAGAATCAAAAAAGATCTGTTGCAAAGGTATGCTATCCAGTCTCTTAAGGCAGGTCTCTGATCCTAAATATAGAGATGTAGTTTGGGTTCATGTTAGCAAGTGGGAAGTTCTTAAGACATGGCCAAGGACACAAGGGAATACTGACCTACACCAGGGACCACTGTTTGCAGTCATGTGCTGTGGTCGGACATGGATGTCTCTAACATCATGTCACTCTCATTCATTTCAATTTCAAAGGTTTCTTCCAAGGAGGGTCTGGAATCTGGAGTTTTCCTGGAGTTTTCCAGTGGTGCAAGCCCCGATTCCTCTGCAGTCTGTTTTTCTACTTCAAATTCCCTGAAATCCCACGGAGGTGAAATAATGTTTTTTAGTGTCTTCATTGTATGCACATCAAAGTCATAACATTTTAATTTGTCTTTAATGTCTGCTCCTAAAAAGAAACACCACAATTAGAATGAAGAAATTTCATCACTGATTTGCCATTTCCATCAGTATACACACCGCCTCTACCATATAAGTCAAGCTGACTTCCAAGATCAGAATAGAAGGAAAAAGTCTCTTCTCCTTCTCTTTCATTTTCCACCATTTTCAAGGGAAATACTGAGAGGATCTCTGAAAGCACATGTAATTATGGATCCCTGCCAGTGTTCACAAAGCCCCTTAAATACCAAAGAAGCCCACAAGCACCACTCTGCTTCCCTGCTATAGAGGAACTGGCTGTGTGCCTCTTGGGTAGTCATCAATCTCACTCTCTCAGAAACCTCAAAGGAAATGCATTTCCACATATCAAAACCGCAACAACAGGGCTGGGGTTGTGGCTCAGTGGTAGAGGGCTTGCCAAACACACATGGGGCACTAAGTTCAATTCTTAACACCACATAAAATAAATAAATAAACTTAAAAAAAAAACACTCAATAATACATGTTTGGACAGATCTGAGCAGATTCATGAGTTTCAATAACTTCTGACATAACTGACAATTTTAAATAGTTCAAATTAATAGCTTTTAGAATTGGGTATTTTGGCAGTTAATTACATGCAAACCTAAAAATAAAACTAGTAGTGAGTGATAACTTGGAAATCTCACTGAGACCACTTCCTGGAGAGCAGGGAGTCATCCCTCACTCATGGCACCTTCAGTCCTTGCTTAGCTCAGAGTCACAGAGGCTGCTGAGCAGCAGAACTTCGGTTCTGACCCAGCATTGTGAAGAACTGAGCTATAAGATGAACAGTGAGATGTACTTCCTCTCAGGTGCACAACTGCAAGAATTCTTACAAATGCATCTGACATAACCACCAGGCAGAAGTGCAGAACACTGCCTACTCATTCAGCCACCTGTGCTTTCACTCCCAGCTTCCCAAGACTGCAGTTCACCACGCTGATTTTTCCATCACCACCACTTAGACTTACTTACAAGTATTCAGTGCATATGCTTTTTCAGACTGTGAAATTCTT